CTGTACAGTTGGGAGAGTCAAAACTTTTACTAAGCTTTGCCTCCATCATATCTATCATAGCCAGCAATACCCTGACATGAGACCCTCCTTGTAGGGGTTCTTCCCCATTCTGCCTAGCAGTTTTGCTCTCTCATCTCCCTTGAGAACCAGAGTTACTGATCTATAGGCCTCCATTTAGCCCACTGATGATTTATTTTAAGAGAGAAATAAAATTGGTGAAAATATTCATAAATCTTTGCCTTTGTGTGCTCAGGTCCTCAGTGGAGTGTCTACTCAGATCTGTTCTTCTCTCCCTATAGTGTACTCAGAGATTATTTTGTGGGTTTTGGTATTTGAACTATTCCTTTGCCTTTACAGTGTGGGCTAAATATTCATCATGCAAATATGCCAGGAACATCCTGCTATCTTAGTACAAGGAGAATGAGTATCTTATAATTTGTATTTTTATAAATTTGCTATGTGGCATGTGCACTTGCTAGAGGGAGAGGGAGGGAGGGAGGAAGAGAGGAAGGGAGAAAGAGAGAGTGAGAGAAAGTATCCTATAGGGAGAAATGGCCACACTATAATCTCTTCTTTATTCTCTTGGGAGTTTTGGCATGTACACATGTGTACTCAGCATGTTTTGCAAGTCAGTGAGCCCAGGATTCAAACTACACAGTCAGCCACTTGGGATCCAGCTATTCTAGCCATTACTAGCTGGCCCAAGACTTAGCATCTTAATTAAAAGACAAAGCAGTTACAGGAGAAAGTCTGCATATTGGCTGAAAGAGAGGTCTCAGCTATGCTTAAGTCATGGGTACATGAAGCGGTATACCTGAGACTCCATCTATCCTTTGCAGTTCTAAGGTTAGGGGGTGATGGAAGCAAGGATGGTGCCTGGTGACAAGATGATAGTTGTATTGGTGCAAAAGCCCATTGTAACTAGACTCAAACACATCTTTATTAATCCAAACAGGAATCATTACAATCATTTAAAAATTTACCAATGAGAAAGAAATTTGTTTAATACTGTAGCATAAAAATCTGTGCTTTGGGATTTGATGAATTCATGGAAAGCATCTTGTGTATCCTGATAGTTAAGGAAACATTTTTCCTGCAAAAAGTTTTTGAGATGTTTGAAGAAGTTGTAGTTAGTTGGCAAGACATCAAGTGAATATGGTGGATGAGGCAAAACTTTTTAACTTTATTCAATCAACTTTTGAAGCATTGGTTTGAGTCTCACAATGTATGGCTAGGCACTGTTGTGAAGAATTGGGCCCTTTCTGTTGACCAATACTGGCTGCAGGTGGTTCAGTTTTCAGGGCATCTCACTGACTTGCTGAGCATACTTTTCAGATATAATGATTTTGCAGGGATTCAGAAAGCTGTGGTAAGTCAGACCCCACCAAACAGTAACTTCTTTTTTGTGTGAAAGTTTGGCTTTGGGAAGTGCTGTGGAGATGCTTTGCTGTACAACCACTGAACTGGTCATTGCCAGTTGTCATATAAAATCCACTTTTCATTGTACATCACATTTTGATAGAGAAATTATATATTATTGCTGCATAAGATATAGAAGATGACACTTCAAAATTCTTCTTTGTTTTGTTTTGTTTAGCTCACGAGGCATCCCTTTATTGAGATTTTCACCTTTCCTTGGGACCAGCAGTTGGTATAATGGCTATGTCGCTGGACTCCCACATAGTCGACCGTGGTTCGTGTCCCAGACCTGGTGGCTTAAAACTCACACCGGGCGCGTATGCGTGTGTGCCCAAGATCCTGAGAGGAGAATGGAGGAGAAGGGATTGCGGTGTGACCATCCCCCCTGGGGGGTGATTTCTCGCTTTCTGTCTCTCTGCCTCTCTCTCTCTCTCTCTCTGGTGAGTGCACGTGCCCTATAGCAAAAAAAAAAAAAGATTTTCACCTTTCCAATTTGCTTCAAATGCTGAAATTATGTAAAATGGTCAATGCTGAGATTTTTGGCAACTTCACGTGTAGTTGGAAGAGGACCAGCTTAAATGATTTCTTTCACTTCTCAACTTCTGATGGCCAAGCACTACATTCCTCATCTTCAAGGCTCCCTCCCCTCTCCTTAGTAAAGCTTCTTGAACACTGACTATACTGTATGTTCATTACCAGTTTCTGGACCAGATGTATTGCTGATGTTGTGAGTTGTCTTTGCTGCTTTAGGACCTATTTTGAACTTGAATAAGAAAATTGCTTGAATTTCCTTTTTGTTTAACATCATTTCCACAGTCTAAAATACATATAAAACAAACAGCAAGTAATATCATTAGGGAAAAAAAAAGTGGGAAAAAACAACAGTGCATTATAATGATGCATAACAGGGACCAGCAGGGGGAGTGGGGTTAAGGCACTAGACCCCCCACATGACTGATCACAGTTTGAGTCCCTGACCTGGCTGCTTAAAGATCACACTGGGCAGGTGTGTATGCATACCTAAAGTTCTTCTCTCCTGAGAGGAGAATGGAGAATGCACTGTGGCATGGCCATCCCTCCAGGGACTGATTTCTCACTTTCTCACTGTCTCTGTCTCTCTCCAGAGAGTACACATGTCCTATGGTAAAAACCTTTTTAAAAAGCAATATATAATACTCCCCATTTAAGAATCTAATATCAAATGATAAATTTCAACAGTGCATAACAATAGTTACTTTTTTTTTTAATCTGTCGTTTGGTTTTTAATCATCTTAAGTTTTACGATGGCATAATTTACAAATCTATGCTGATGGACTATCTCCTTTACTTTAATCCTTCTAATAAATTGGCAAAAACACCATTACCAATCACACACATACAGTAGTTCTTCAGTTTCTCTGTGGTTTTGAACAGTTGCCTAACAATCCTGAAATATAACTTAGTCTAACTTAGATATAGAATTCAAAGGTATAATTTAACATGCTACTAAATCTTGTCACACTGACTTTTAAAAGCGTCTGACCTCACAAATCATTTATAAATATGTGAAGAGTTATATATTCTTTCTTTGATAGTATACATAAACCACACTAAAATGTCTTTCAATAAGTAAAAGGCAGTGTTTTGTATAAAGGGAATTCGAATTAAAATGGTAGAGTTAAGACCAAATATATAAAGTAGACATCACTACGTTATCTTCAGTTTTTGCCTTAACAGGTTAATGAACAAATTAAAACACAGGTGAGTCTTAGTTTTGAGAAGTGAAGGGATTTCGCCAGCATTTATATATTCATATAACCAGTTACATGTAAGCCTAAATAAAACTAATCTCCAGTAGGCTTTGAGATGGCATTCACCATCTTTGTAGAAATGTGAGCATCACTAATGAATTACTAAATATATCTTTAGAAAGGACAAAAATAGTGATAGCACTTACTGAACTGAAATTACTATCAAAATAAAAACAAAAACAAAAAACAATATTAATTTAACCACAAGCCAGTCTTATTTAAATCAGGATTGTCCAAAAAAATAACCTGTCAGCCATTCATGATCTGAGTTCTGGTGTAGGAGATCAATTAAAATATGGTACACATAAAAAA